TTTTTTTGTCCGCCATTTTTTCCCCCTTTTCCGGCAGGTGCCTTACCTCCCTTGGGCTGGGCCAGCTGGTGGTCAGCTTGCTCCGTCTCTGCCGCTTGCCAGCTACGCCTCGGCCGGCGCAGGGGGCGGAACCACACATGCGCGGTGCTCCCGGGCAGGGAAAGTTCTCGACTTACGACCGGTTTAGTCCTCGACTTACGACCGGTTGGGGTCGCGGCATTAAAAAGGTTGAGAACCACTGATGTAGAGAATATTTTGCATCATCACAGTTCACCCTCAACACCCCTAGGATTAGGGAATAATAACTTAAAGGCAATATCAAAGTTCAATATCCTTATAATATTTTCGCATTCGAGATTATTATAGACCAGAGAAACCAACAGGATAAAAATCATAATTAGGTAGCTCAAAGTAGAACATAGTATTGTTTGTGGATATTGATCCTTTGTATTTATGACAGACCCTGAGGCCTTCCCCCAAATTTGTCAAGCTACAACTCCTAGGACTGTTGGGAGTTGTAGTTCAGTCACTTCTGAAAGGGCATAGGCTTGCCTGTTTAATGAGCTTCTGTCTGAAAGGTCTTATCAATGTGGGGAAGTTATTTCTGGGACAAAGAGATTGTCCTTTGAAGGGAAACGAGTAACAGTTAACAGTTTTACCAGCTGACTGCCAAATCTAATAAGCAACACAAAAGTAAAAAATCAAATTAACAATAATTGCAGAAGTGTTGCTTGAATGGAAGACGGAAAAGAGCAAGACAGCACTTACTGTATAACGTAAAAGGCCCTAAGAGTGCCAAACTAAATATAGTGTATAACATCAAACAAAGTACATTATAATCAACAGAACCAAAGGTAGAAAGTGAGAAGGAGTGAAACGGGAAGGGAGAGAATTACATGCAAAGAAATAAATCTGAAAATGTGCTCAGGTCTCTACTTGTCCAAATGCTCATCTAAACCACTGAAAGACTGTAGATCGGTTGGGCAGCCTTCAGAAGTCATGTTAACAAAGCAGTGAGTAATGTGAGAGTAAACGCTCTTAAGTCTGAATCTTTTTTCTCCTTGATTATTTGAAGTATTGACATGGGGCCAGCAGTGCTGGGACTGGGAAAGGTCCCTTGCAGAAACTCTGGTGCCTCAGTGGGTTCTCTTGCCATTTCTTCTATTGGAACCAAATCTAGTCACATGAAACTGGGAACAAACTTTGCCAGCCCCTGATAACACTATTCCGGTGGTTTGTGGTTCTTCTGAGTGTGTCAGCTTGCTATGAGAACAAGTAGGAAAATTCTTGACAATCAGGCAGTGAAACTGTAAGCCAGGTTTCCCAAGTAGCTGTTAGCAGACATGATAGATACAGGTAGTCCTTGCTTAATGACCAGTCCCTTAGCGACCATTAGAAGTTAAGATGGAGCTCCCCAGAGCTATTTACAAGTCAATTTTGAAGTTCCAGCAGCCGCATACACATACTGCCCATGGTTATGTGATTGCATTTTGGATGGCAATTGTTTTGCATTTATGGCTGTTCACATGACCACAATTTTTGGTGATTTTTTGCCAGTTTCCAACATTTATTTCCAATTTCTGGCAAAAAAACACGCATTGGAGAAAATTGGTTTGCTTAATGACCGCCACATTTCCTGAACAACCACTACATTCACTTAAAGGCTGCCACAAAAATGGCTGTAAAATTGAGTGTGGACACATGGTGACTCATTTAACAAAGGCCATGATTTATGACCATAATTACAGGCTCAATTACAGTTGTAAGTTGAGGATTATCTGTAATAAAGGACAAATGTAGGAGAGAGATGGGAGGAAAATAAAGTTGAAATAGTGCTACCCCAGTAATGCCGTTGAAGAAAGTTTTTCAATCTTTTGAATAAACCAACATACAAATACCATGTTAACTAATTAAAATCTTTAAACAAGATCTGGAATTAAATCTTTAAACAAGATTCTCCTAGAAGTGATACAAAGATTCTCTGAAAGCAAGTCATCCATGCCAGTTTATTCAGAGGTCAGTTAAAAAAAATTAAAGGAGGTGGGGCAGTGATGTGGTCAATACAGCTACTGAGGGCAGGGCTTTATTACCTTGCATTACACAATGTTCTTTCCATGAGGTCAAAAGCAGGATAAATTATACAAAGTAGTTAATCAATAGAAGCAATGATTGCATAATGCGTTCCTCTGCAAAATTCAGATGTTTTTGGTGACAGATTTTGAAATATAGCATTCATACAGTTCTAGCTATCACTGCGTGAATCACCCAACTTTATTATGCACATCCTTTTCTGAGCATTAAGTGTTGCAAAGACATGATAGGGTTGACTGTATCACATAACCAGAGACTACAATTGACAACTTTTCCATGGCATCAGATCTGTTGGGTGTATGGCCTGGAGAAGAAGTGGCATTGGATGAAAAGAGCTGACCAGAACTTTCTGAGGTCACTTCAAGTACCTTTGGTATTAATCCTTCACCCTTTGGAATCTCAAACTGCTTTAACCAATTGTTTATAATTATACCTCATTAGTAAGGCAGCCTAATTATTACCAATGTTAGTACAAGCCTGTAAAGGATGTACTTTACCTGGATGAAAATGGAAATTCAAGAGCAAGCTTCTTCTGAGACTTGGCTAAAGCTGAGCCAATATACAGGTTCTTATACAGCCACAGAGATAATGGATTTATATACATGCTTTGCATACAGTATAAACAGCGGACAACAAAACCAACTGCACAAAATTGCCTGCTTTGAGCAGAACTTCTGACCATCCTTGTGCAATTCTAGTCCTAACAGGATCAGCCCAAGATATTCTGCTATCTGAAATAAAGGACAAGACACTGCTTCTTTCAAGGCCATCTGCAGAAATGGATGGAATTGGGCAAGCATGAGCCATGAAGCCATATCCTACGGAATATATAACCAGAGGCTAGGAGGAAGACATAGTTGGGGAGTCCAGGAGGAACAGCAAAGAGGGTGCCCCTGCTGCCTCTCCTCCCTTCCAGTACTCCGTCTCTGACAATAATTTCCTGCTGCTACCCGATGGTAGATCTGGCTCAGGAAGCAGTATAAATTGCAGGGTTTCCTACAGGGCAATTTGCAGGATGTTGGGAGTGGGGATTACAGTGGTATCTTGGTATTCAACTGCTTTGAGACTCATCAAATTTGGTACTCAACTCATTTTGACACAAACTTTTTTGTCCTGGTACTCATTATTTGGTACTCAAACGCACAAGCTGGAACTTGTCGGTGTCGGCTGCCTTATGACTCACTACATTATTCCTTATGGGAAAAATTCATTGTTTTTGGTACTCATCACGCCTCCCAGAACCAATAAATGATGAGTACCAAGGTACCACTGTACTGTAAGTAGTCTACCTGGGAAGAGAATAAGCAATCTGAATTGCCATGAAAATAGTATTAACATCATAAACAGTATGAGATTCTTCTTTCACATTGTTAATGCACATTTTTTAAACCAGTGTTTCTCAACCTCAATAACTTTAAGATGTCTGGGCATGCTGGCCAGGGAATTGTGGGAGCTGAAGTCCACACATCTTAAAGTTATGAGGTGGAGAAACACTGTTTCGGAAATTGTGCTGATCATTAACCTCTATTGTGAATCTCCTGATGCCTCTTGCTCCAAACCCCTTTTTAGAAAATTTCCTGATATATGGAATGTTCTGAGAGATTAACTGGTTCCCAATAAACATTTTGAATGCAATTGGAAGTGGGCCCAGCTTGGTCTTCATTAAATTAAAAGAAGGCATTTGTAATTTGGCAGGAATCAAAACAATCAGGTTTTTCAGAGGGCCATCTTGTGATTTTATGCTACAATAATTTCTTTTATTTCTGCCAACTATATAGGAAGAGGCATTAGCAAGCATGGGTGTTATGCTGGTTGGATTGGAAGGGTATGAATGGAAATGCTTGGGTGGGGTGGGGTGGAGTGGGGGAATACAATGAAGTGGCAAAATCTCTTATTGTTACTATCCGTCCTGTAGCTTAGACTCTGGCATATGCCGTATAAAGTGGATTGCCTTTCTATGTGATTTATTTGAGTATATATATATTTGTATCTTGTGTTTGTCATCTCCTGGGAGTTTTAATTCTGTGGACCAATAGCATCTTCTCTGCTTTTTAAAGATCACTACCCTACAACCATTCATGCACATTCATGTCTGTTTTATTACACGCAGAAAAAAAAACAATGGCCAGTGATAAATTTGAAAAATGTTTACAGTACATTTTTGTGCACGATCTTCACGCGTCTATGGATTTTTGTTTTTATCCACACAGAAAAAAACATTACAGACCAATGCCCACACGTACAAATTTTTCATTTAACTTTTTAAAATTATTTGCCGAAGATCTGCCTTAAGTGCAGTATCATCTGCTTTATATTATGCAAATAACTTTTGACTGCAACTTATTTACTGCATTTTGGACTGCTGACGTGCAAATCCCTGCATCCGCAGAAAAGCATGGTGGTGGCACAAGCCAGTGTTTACAATCTACTAGATCTGTGGCGTCTCATGGACACGGCAGGTGTTGACATCAAGTGATAAGACGTGCACGCGTGAACCACTGGCGAGTGAGCAAAGAATAGGGAAGAAATAAAGCACTGCACGTTGATGTGTCAACCAGACCCAACTGCAGCCCCCCAAAAGGCATGATACATTAGTGTGTGTGTGTGTGTGTGTGTGTGTGCGCGCGCGCGCGCGCATTACAGATGAAATCAAACCAAGGAATCTCTCACGGGCCTTTTCCAGACTGCTGGAATTTTCCTGGGCTCCTGAATGCCCGGCAGACCACCGAAGCTTGCGATAGGCTGAGAGGCAAGAAAAAGAGAGCCCGCGCTTCACCTGTTCCCGTTCCACGTGGGCCCCTTGGCTTGCATTCTTGTGAAGTCTACTTCTTCGGGGTGTGATTGGCTGTGAGGCTGGCACGCGCTCGCCTGTCTGTCCCTGCCTGCGTCTGTAGTGCCTCTGTGTGTGTGTGTATATGTTTGAGCGCGCGGGGAAAACTGCCCCCTCTCGCCCCAACACCTCCGCTCCGCGCCACTTCCCTTCTCTCTCTCTCTCCGGAGGGGAACGTCTCTAAGGCTCCGGTCCTTCCTTCCTTCCCCTCAAGAAAGGCAGAAGAAGGTGAGTGTGTTGTTCAGAAGAGGACGGCGCCAGCGAAGAGGCTCGCGCGGCAAAAACGAGGCGCGCGTTTCCTCCTCCTGCAACTCGCTCCAGCTGTTGCATCAGATGCCCGTTGGAGCGGCCGCAGTCTTGGAAAGTGGGAGGGGGGGGAGGGAGGTCGTGGGGCTCAAAGGGGGGGAAGCAAGAGGAAGAGAAGGAGGGTCCCTTTGCTTTCCCTCTCCCAAGTCCGCGGAGGGGCCCTCTGGGAGGGAGCACTCGCTCTTCCTCGCCGGCCGCAGAGACTTCGGCGGACCTCAAGGAAACTTGGGCCAAAGGCGCGGGGGTCGCCAAGGGACGAACAGTTATGTGTGTATGGGGGGGAGGAGGGGTGCCTCTCGGCGGCACTGGGTCCCGCGGTCGCTCGTGAGTGGGCTTGGCCGGGAAGGCCAATGCGTACAAGCGAGAACAGACCCCTTTTAGGGGGCCTCTGCGGGGAAGAGAGGGCGCGGAGGAGCGGCTTCATGTTAGTGCTCTGGGAGGTGGAGGGAGAAACCAGGGTCTTCGGCCAAGACCGGCGGGTCGCTCAGCCTCTCGGCAAGCCGTTGGCTGGAAAGGCTGGGTGTTTTATTTTTGGTGATTAGTTGCTGCCACGTGGGCCCTCTCGAAATATATAGACGTATACTGTATGCATACACACCCGCGCGCGCGCGCTCACACACTCACACACACACACACACTCCAAGCACATGCGAAATCGATCTTCCCGGGAGCTGAGAACAACCTGTCTACAACCCGATCCTTTAAAATAAAGGTTGGTTAAATAAAGGTACTAGCGCCAGTATTTATTGGATTTTATAGTAGACAATTACCGGACAGCAGTTTTAGCTAAAATTGAACATTGGATGCCCGCTTAGACTCATGGGGTGCATTTTGGGGTGGATCCTGTTTGAAATGGTCCCAAGTTCAAAGAGAATTAAGTCTTGTCAAACTTGAACATTGATCCGTTAAGTTGCAAGGCATCTCTCTGGAGATCAGAGAGGTCTTGTTGGAGAAGTAGATAGCAATGTTTAGCATGGCAGGGATTGGGAAATGTTGTATATACTGTGTGTATCCGGTACATAAGATGACCTAAACTCAAGTTTATTAATATTTATTAATATTTAGCCTTTTGAAGATGCTCCATACAATCAGAAATTAATGTCACGATAAATAGCGTATTAGTGCTGCCATACAGGTAGCTCTTGACTTATGACCATAATTGGGACCCAAATTTTGGTTGCTAAGCAAGATTGTAAATGAGTCAGGCCTGATTTTTATTACCTTTTTTTTTGCCATGATTGTTAAGTGAATCTCTGCAGTTGTTAAGTGAATCATGCAGTTGTTAAGCAAATATAGCTTCCCCCATTGACTTTGCTTGCCGGAAGCTAGTTGGGAAGATCACAAATGGTGATCACATGACCCCAGGACAGTGCAACCATGGCAAATACATACCAGTTGCCAAGTGCCTGAATTTCAATCAAATGACCGTGGGGGATGTGGCTACAGTAATAAGCATCAGGACTGATCATATGTCTTTTTTTTCTTTAACTTTGAACGGTCTCTAAATGACTGGTTGTAAGTCAAGGACTACCTGTAATTTTAATATTGCTGTATAAAGGGGCCTATCACAGATAATGGGAGGATAATTGAAAAAAAATAAAATTTCCCTCTAGTCAAGCTTGGCTCCTTTAAAAGGCAAAAAATTGTCAGTAATTTCTGGGACTATTTGTACTGTCTGCTAGAGGCACCAAATATCTCAGGCTATTTTAAATGGTGGATTATTAAATTCTGGATTTTGATTTGACAAATGGTCTAGGGAAGGAGTGTTATTCTGGGCAGCTTAGGGCAACTCCCTCAACCAGGTGCCCTCTGCACTTGTTGGACTTCAGCTCCAATTTCCAGCCAACGAAGCCAAGGGAATTCTGGAAATTTCAATGCCCACTTCTCTGAAAAGTGGGTTAGCAGAAAGTACAGAGCCTTTGTGCATGGAATATTAGGGAATATGTGCAAGATTGCCACATATATTTCCTAATAACATTCCATGTGAATTACGTAATTTGTATTAGTTGTGTCATATGCACAGTGAAATCATGGCATATATGATGTCAGCCCCCCACCTCCTGATCGACAGCTGTGATTCCACTGAAGTAATTCAATGCCTCCATTTTTTTTTATTCTTTCTCATTCTATACATTTAGCATGGTTCAGAGTGGTTACTCTGTTTCCTGCCTTGTGCACTTTTTAGGCTGGTTTAAAATGTATTGAAGGGATAGTAATTAATCTGTATTTAGTGATCCTTTATAGAAAGATCTTCTTTGTTGCAAGATTCAACAAGATCTTCTCTGTGTTTGATTGCATCATATGCAGTTTAATTACTGTTTAAGTACTTAATGTATTGGTTACCAAAATAAGAAAGAGATTGAAAATGGGGAGTGTTTGCTTGTGTGTGTTTCTCTCTGCTTCACTAATTAGTGTCCATGGGATAGTTTTGATACCTTCCAAATCCAGCAATAGATCTGAATTTAACCATAGATAATAGATCAGTATATCTGTCCCTTGTCTGTTGATTGCTTTCTTTAGGTGTTCTTCAAATAATGGCAGATTTATTTGACATCTTTTCTCCACCATCACCACCATTAATAGGGCAAACCTAAAGGGTCTTTTTAACATTCTTTGCAAACAGAGTACCCGGTCATTTAGATCTATTTCCCACATCATGTATATGTGGCACTTTTTTTTTTACAACTTTGCCTACTTTATTAGGCAACAGTGATTATGTTTGGAGCTCCTGCAAAGTGCAACACATTTCTGCTCTTCATTAAAGTGGTTTCATTAAAATAGGATTTCAAGTGAGCCTAAAATAAAAAGAAATTGTTGCTTCTTGCTTCTATAAGAAATCCACTATCTACTCTTTTTCTAGCTATCCCAAGTCTTGTGATAGGGCGGTTTAGACATGTGATAAATAAATAAGTAACACTTCGTACAGAAGTTTGAAAAATGTCCAGATCTTTAAATACACAATAGAGTTGTGCAAAGGCTGGAGCACTTTTTCGGAATCAACTTTCAAAGCCCGCACAACCCTAGGAATTATTTTTTTCATATACTACATTTTTGCCACACATGTATATATTTTTTATGCTGTTAAAAAGTCTTAACATGTAATTAGGTATATTTTTGAAAAGATAAGAATTCACCATTCTGCCTCCACTACTTGTTCATATCTTCCACTCAGGTCCTATTACAGGTAATCCTTGACTTACGACTGATTAATTAGAGAGCGTTTGAAGTTACAGCAGACCAGCCTGGGGGCTACTTATGGCCTCAGTTTAAAGTTCCAGTGGTTGCCTCCCTGGTCACATGACTGGACTTCAGGTGCTCAGTAACCAGATTGCAGTTACGGACATTTGCAGCATCCTGCAGTCACGTGATCACATTTTATAACAGTTTTGCTGAAAATCAGCATTTCCAGATTTTGGCAAAACCACGCCCATAGTGAACCATTGTTTTGCTTAACGGCTGCAGTGTTCACTTAATGATTGCCATTAAAAGGTTGTAATGGACAAGCTCCATAACGGTCATAAGTCAAGGACCACCTGTATAGAAGACAGTGTAGTAGGTCTGTTCTTTCTCTCCTCTTCCCGTCTGGGTTTGGGTTCAAAGAATATATTTATTTTTAAATCTAGATGAGCTTTTATCTCCTTTGCTGGATCCAAATGGAGAATTGCCAAGGCTCAAATTTTCCTTGGAATTAATACTGATTCACGGTGGGAGAATGTTTTACTCTGCCCTTGGTAGTCAGCAGCAGAGTTTGCAAAGATTACACTGGAAATAATTCTAGCTGCATTCATACATTGTTGCACTAACTCATACAGGGGTTAACTTGGCTTTGATTTAGTGCAATGGGTGAACGTAGCCCTTTGCATTTGTAGACCTTTGTTTATAGGTTTGAGTTTATATTAAAATGAATGTATAGACCAAACTACTTTACAAAATGTGTGAATTCATCTTGGTTGTAGTTTTTGCTGTAATGATACATTTGGACATGTAAGTAACCACTGGAAGTTGTGTTTGTCTGAACCAGTTTTGGAGGACTGATGCTAATAAGCATTGTAGAGTAGGCAATGTGAACGTTATAGCTGAGGGGGTTAGGTATTTGTAACCCACATGCTTAAAATAATGGAAAATTTGAGTCATCAAACGATGTGTAAACAGCTCTGAGATGTTATATAGACTTAGAAGCATTTTTCCTAGTTTTATTTTGGGTTTGGTTTCAGCGCTGAATATACCCTGGGAGGGCTAAGTAGTTGAGCTGCATGTAGATTGCTGCCAGGGTCTTTTAGGGTCAAGCTGCATTCCTGCTCCTTTCAACAAACTGAGATCAACCTGGGACCAAACAGAAATTGCGTAGGGCTCGGTTACTCTCCCAAGCCCCAGCCAATAGGTTGATTTCATTCATATATCAAGCCCTGTCATCTTCTGGCCTTTGCAGTTTTTTTCCATTGGCCTGGAGTACACAGCAACCATTCCATTTTGTGTCTAGACAGTAATGCTCAGTTCTTCTCTTGCAAGTGGAGAGGTGGGCTTTCCAACTAATCAGGGAAGCAAAATACAGCTCACAAGAAAAACTTTATCCTGCAACCTCAGAAAGGGAGTGGCTGCAGAGTGTATATCTTCTCCCAGTTTCCATGCTCAGCACTTACAGTTTAAGTTCGGGAAGGCGCATATTTGTCCGGTTGCCCTCATGCGCCTACAGTTGCGTGGGGGAAAACGGAAGAATGAAGCAGGCTGCATATGGATACAGCTGGAAACAATTTCAGCACTTTTTCCAGCCAAAGCAAGACCGACAAGAATAGCTGCAGTTTTCTTTGGGCCCAGCCTGGCTTACGCTAATGTTTGTCAGCACCTGGATCCTGGAGAAAAGCACCCACGGATGGATCAATAAATAAACTCTTCCTTTGGGAGATCCTTTAAACAGCAAATCT